TCTAAATAAGGTAAGTTACCTAATTTATAATTTATACAAAATATTAATAACATTATTTTTAGCTTTTAGTTGAGGAGACCCAGGTAATAATAATAATAGAATTAAAAATGAAGAGAAGGGGGATGGGGTAATAATAATATTAATAATAAAATACCTAAATATAAAACTTGTAATTAATCTTAATTATTTATTTACAATGGAGTCGGAGCAAACCAAAAATCCCGAAAATGTAATAATAATACCTTTAAAATATTAAATTTTATTATTAATTTAATTAATATTTCAGAAAAACGGCGAAAGTTCAACCAGAACTAAAGGGGTAATAAAATTTATTATTAATACCAAAATAATTAAATATCAGAAAATTATTCATCTTTTTGTTTAACAGAAACCGGAGCAAACTGAGCCAGAAAAGGTAATAATAATGTTAATAAAATATTGAATTATTAAAAACATAAATCATTTTTACAGGCTGCCCAAGATATTATTAATGTGAGTGTAACTGAAACTATTTTAATTTTTATTGGCAAAAAAATGGAAATGTTTACTTGTAATTCTTTCTTTCAAAAATTATCATGTTTTGTACAAATGTAATGTAAATGCATTAATTAATATATTAATTTATAATTAGGAGCCGATAAAACTTTGGCCAGGGGAGGCAGCCCAAATAAGTAGGTATCAACAAAAATATTCTTTGAAATTCTATTTTATTATATTTTTTAGGCCACCAATTAGCAAATGAAGTTTGTTTGGCCGGGACCTTAATGCACCAAACTCAAGAGGGGACCTGGTGCATTAAGGGCCCGCGCCAATTGGCTAAACAATCCCTGGCCCGGCTCTTTAGGGAGGTAAGTAACCTAGGGTTTTATGTTTTATAAAACAATGCATATGCATAATAGATCATAAATTCAAATGTTACCATTCTATTGTAATAAGTTTTTTTGTATAAATAATAGATTCGGCGAGGAAGGGGGTTTCGCCGCAGAAGAGGCCGAGGTATTGGTGGCAGAGGCCGTGGGGGAAGTGTCGACAGGGGCCGTGTAGGCAGGGGCCGCGGCCGTGGCGACAGAGGTCGTGGCGGCAGCAGCCGAGGGGGCAGCAGCACCTTTGGGGGCGTTGGCCAGGGGTACGGTGGCGGTGAAGGCGGAATTGGGGCGTAAGTTTACATAATCATGTATATGTCCAATTAATCTGTAGTATTATTTTAGCGGATTAACGATATACCACCGCCACACCTGGGTATAAAAATTAAAAAAACTTAAAAAATAAAATTCTTTTCTTGTAGTGATTAGTTACCTCCCGCGTTACCTGATTAAAATACCTTTTCATTGATATAACCATTTCCTATACCATACCTAAAGTTAATAACAAAGATATTGTACAATTCCTATTATGTATTAAATATTTCAAATTTTTAAATATTAATTTTAAATTAATAAATAATCGCTTCTGTTAAAACCGGAAGAGGAATTTTGTTCAAAATAATTTTAAAAAGTTATTAATATTCTTTTAAAACCCCGGGGGTATTTCAAAACTAAAAAAAAATTTGGTTGCCGATTAGTATGTAGCATTTTTTTAAATTAAATCACCAAAAACAAAATATTAAGCAACAAATTTGAATAGTTTGAACATTTAAATATAAATAAATAAGAAAGTTTAGCATTCAACAATTGAAAAATATAAACATCAAAAAACATACAACCGTTAAGTGAACGCCTATTGCAAGATTTTTGAAAATAACAATGTCATTTTAAGATAAACAAAACAAATAAAATTATATTGTTTTTTTGTAGTTTTTTTTTTATTTTCACTTAAAAATTAATAAACCCATACAGCACCTAAAGCGAAAAGTCGTCTAAAAGATTACTTATTTAAGTCATCTTTTAGTCATGACGAAAAGATGTCAAAAATTCGTCTAAAAGATGACTTATTTAAGTAATCTTTTAGTCATGACGAAAAGGTGTCTTAAAGATGTCTGTTATAAGGCATATTTACATGTCATATGAAAAGTCGTCTATAAGATGTCTGTTATAAGGCATATTTACATGTCATATGAAAAGTCGTCTATAAGATGTCTGTTATAAGGCATATTTACATGTCATATGAAAAGTCGTCTATATGATGATGTACAATAGACTTGCTAAGATCCATATGATATAAATGACATCTTTAAGACGTGGTATATAATCACATACTTCCATTACTATACCACGATTGTTGGTTGTGTCATGCAAGCATAAAGTATGAGAAGTATTCTTTTTCTATGGTACCTATGCGGCTCACAGTAATAATGTTAATATATGTTTATATTTTATAGTCTGAGGCATATAATCACATATATCTCAGACAAGGAAAGAGAGGGACGTAATAGTCGCGACGAGTAGCTGTTCAATTTGGCACCATTTGCAAGCTCATTAATTATATATTTATATATACTTTTTTAAAGCACGGTGACTAATGCTTTGTTTGCCACCATTAAAATGGCGGATCGGGAACATTATCAAGCGAAGGTGTATATAATCAACATTAGCGCCATCTCTATTAATATTGTCTAAACCATACGGTATGGCGGGAATACTTGTTATAGGCCGGTAGCAACATAAGCAGCTGACTGTTACGACGTTGCCGCCATATACCCATAGTTTTTGGAAGGAGCTCGTTTTGGGGAAATAAATATATTTTTAATAAAATCGTTTAAATAGTATTAAAAAAAATATTTTATAATAAATAAAATTATCATTTAAGCATTTTTCCATAAACGTCTAAGATTTTTTCGAATATAATTTATAAAAATTATTTTATTAGAATACAGATGACTATAATCTGTGCACAAGCTGGCAACGCAAGATTTCCATTGCACCGCCCAAAGAACGCCGGGTGACAAAATTATGCTTCTAGCAAAGGTGTTCTGTGGACGCGTTGGTGTATTCTTTTTATACCTAATTTTGTGATTGGAATAAAAATAAGGTAAGCTATGGCCTTTATTAATGGAGTAGGTACAAATTCCGTTCTCGATGGCCTTAAAGTTAAGGGTTTCGAGCAGCCTCGCTACCGAGAATTTCGTTACATAAGAATTTGTCTGACTGGACATAAAAGAACACATATATATACCTATACATAGCCTCAACAGTGAGGTAATCAAAAAAAATTTGTTAGGCATGGGCCCGAGGACTAATAGTCATTATACATTATAAATTTATGTTTTATTTATATATTTTGGTTATTTTTAAACTATGTTAAATAAAAGAATAATAAATATGACTTTTATTTGTCTCATAAAGGGCAGATTTTTCGATTTAGTTAAGTTCTAGCATTGTTTTTAGTCTAAAAACAATGATTCTAGTTAGTTTATTTGGTGGATAATTTCCTTGTATCTAAAAAAATCATTCGCCAAATAAACAAACTAGAACTTAACTAAATGGTAAAAAATCGGCAACATAAAAACACGTCTTTTAAAGATGACGAAAAGTCGACTTTTAGGAATACCGAAAAGACATATTTTGGACATGTCGTAAAGGCGTCTTTTAGGTGACGAACACTCATCATTCGGACATGTCGTAAAGATTTCTTTTAGGTGGCAGAAAGTCGTCTCTTAGACATGTCGTAAAGATATCTTTTAGGTGGCGAAAAGTCGTCTCTTAGACATATCGTAAAGATATCTTTTAGGTATGCCGAAAAGACATCTAATCGTTTAATGCGTTTAAAGAATTAATTATTAAAAAAGGATATCCCTAACAACTTACAACAAATGGGTACAGCAGTTTTTGTTAAAGTTTTTCGTTTGCTTGTAAGAATGTCCTTCGGCAAAAAATGTTTTTCAAAAATACATTTAAATTTTAAATCATTATAATCTAAATCCAATAAAAGTGGATTTCCGGAATTTTTCTTCCAAATTTCACACCGGTCGGTGTTTTTAATTGGAAATTGGAACAATACAAAGCTGGTTTTGCCTTTTTTTTTAAAACATTTGTTATATAAACAAGTATTTGTAGGTAAATTATTCATTTTCGCTAACGAAGTAAGTACAACAACCTACTTGAGCAATTGCTTTGTGCAAACTAAATTAAATTTAATCTACTCGACCTTCACGATTCATGCGACCGGCGCATTGCATAGAAAGTGGGGATGCTGATGACGACGCGTTTCTTACTGTCTCACTCTAACGGTCTCACTCTAATTACGACTATAGCGCCTCTAACAACCAGGATGGATTTTGGAGTTAGTTTAAATACATTAGACCACGCCTCTTCCCCACTTCTTTACTCAATGCTATTACTGTAAATCCTATCTTATGTAAAGATTGTTTGCAAATTGACCCTGAAGTAGATGCTGAGAAAATACCAAGGAATGAGCAGCAAAACACTGATGGACAGGTATTTTTGAGTCCATTAACTATTATATACAGATATTGCTTATAATTTCTAGAACATTATAAATTTCGGTTGGTTAAGAGGAAACGTATTAGCCGTCTCAACAAAAGTAAGGGAGTGACCTCATTTACAACTTCAATAATGAGTGTAGTTTTTACCAAAGAGGAAATGGCCACCAGCAGCATGACGGGGAAAATAAGCAAGTTTTACACAAAAAAAACAGCGCAAAATACATCAAAAAACGAACTGAATCCACCTGTAAAGAATGCTGCCTCCGGGCCAGAGTTACATGTCGTTGTGCTCTGTTAGAAAGCGATAGAAAGCGTACTAAAGCGTAAACTGCGAATCCACGTAAGAAGACGTGGCATAAATTATTTCCGAATCACAGAGTTGATTTATATACATAGGCCAAGTAATACTTGGTCACGCTATGGCGTGGCTATGCCAGCCAGGATTTTGATGACTGCTCATAAAAGCATTGATTAGCACTCAGACTACTCTGGTGGCTCCACCTCCACGAGGTCGGAGGCGGAAACGCAGCAGGGCGGCGCTCAGTCTTAAAAATCCTGTTGCGGCCAAGAGAGCCGAATCAGTCGTGCGGATAGCGGACAGTGAATAATCTCGTTAACCATGTCCAGATCGTCAACTTCTTCAAAAGCGTCCACTGCTAGCACAGTGGACACCCCTCCCCGGACTACAGAGAAGTCCACCAACCAACCCCGTCCCGATTCCCCGGCTACAGTGAAGCCAACCATTTCCCCTGAAGATGTCCAAGAGGCATTTGAAACCATAAGAAACCATTGGAATACCGAGAGTAGAGACTCCAAAGCCAAAAAGACCTCCATGCTTGCTTACTTGGACCAAATTCAAGAGGCTTACCAAGAATTATTGGTTAGGCCCAGCCAAACAGTCCCGATGAACGTTTTGGAGGACATGCTGGACTCCAAGATAAGCCAATTCAGACCCGGACCACGGTCAAGCTCCCTACGGGCAAGGCCGTGCCCACAAAGAACTCCTCAGTTACAAAGATTACACGTCAGACCAAACAAGAACTGTAATCACCTCAATACTGAGGCCCAGACAAACTGGCCTAAAGATCGACAAAGTCAATAAATTACCAGCAGGCGGCCTACGGCTGGAATCAAATAAATCGGACTTAAGCACTCTTAGCGTCCAGGCACTGAAGGACAAGGGCCTGGTGCTCAAGGTGCCCACCAAGCGGCCCCCAAGATTAGCCGTCTACCACGTGCCATCCTCCCTTGACGCAGACGAGGTAGAGGAAGCAATCATTGCCCAAAATTCAGAAGGGCTAACTGAGGACGAGCAGGACATCCTCAAGGATGGTGTTCTTGTTAAATTTAAATTCGGACCAAGGGACTCCAGTACCGTCCACTGGATAATGCAGACAACCCCAAGAGCAAGGAAGATCCTGCTAGGTAATGACCATTTATACATCGGCATGAGCAGATGCAGAGTATCCGACCATATTAGGGTGACAAGATGTCACAACTGCCAGCAATACGGGCACATGTCAGCGTCCTGTAGAAACAAAAACCCTGCTTGTGCACATTGTGCAAAACAGCACACAACGGACAGATGTCCAATTAAAAACCAGCCACCATCTTGCATAAATTGCATAAACTCAGGACATAAGGACGAGCATGCAGCCCACGAAGCATCCAGCTCAAACTGCCAGGTCTACAAAAGAAAGTTAGCCGAATCAGTCGAAAACACACTTTATGACTAACAGACTGCTTAGATTCGCACAGATCAACTTAAACCACTCCAGGCTTGCCACACGTGAGCTTCTTGCTCTCATAACCCAAGAAAGACTTGATGCCATACTAGTCCAGGAGCCTAACTGCATCCGCACGACTAATAATTGCCACAGGATTCCCGGATTGGGACAAAGTATTAAACAAGCTCATGTCAACACACAGACCAGGCCACAGGCCTCAATCATTCTCATTAACAGGGCCATAGATGCCCTGTTTCTTCCTCAATATTCATCACCTAACATCTCCACAATTGAAATAACTTTCTCAGGCAGCAAAATATATTTACTAAGCATATACCTCCCGGCAGACGAACCCGTTCAATCAACATTAATGCTTGTCAGAACACTCATTTGTGATTTTGGAAGAAATAACATCGTCATGGCAGGGGACTTCAATGCCTCTTCCCCATTGTGGAACTCCTCCGCAAGAAGCCAGAGGGGCGAGGAACTAGAAGTCTTCCTTGCCCATTATGACTTACATGTCGTCAACACAGCAGGCCACGCGCCCACCTTCTACACTGTAAATGGCTTCAGTCACATTGATGCAACATTTGCATCAGGCAACATCTTGAACAAGAGTAGAGATACAAAGTGCGTTCTGGACCGGAAGTGACCCAGACGCTACGTGACGTCAGCAGTAGGCGGTTCTCGATGGTGGCGCCCCCCTGGTGGGTGGTGGGGGGTGATCATATTAGCTATTGGTGGGCAGGCATTTGGGCAACGCCCTCAACTGATAAGCGTAAGTGAGCCTATTGGTGGGTTGTTGGCGGATGGCGGCTGGCGGATGGCGGCCATGTTTGATAGATATTAGCTATTGGTGTTGTGGTTTAAAGTGGGCGGGGCTTAGGTGTTTAGTTGGCATTACTGGAGATGCAAAAGATAAGCGATATGCATATTGGTTGTTTGTGGTTAGCGTATTAGTTTGGTATTACTGGAGATGCAAAAGATAAGCGATATGCATTTGCTGCGTGACTTAACAGTGGTTTGATATCCGGGGGAGATAAGGATTTATTATTATTTTGTTGTAAATTTCATTTTTGACGCCATTTTGAATTGTGACGTCAAATTTTTAGCTTGATAAAATATTTCCGTTTTTGTGGTAATGTGTTTAATATTGAATTTAATATAATTTTCATTTTTAACGCCATTTTGAATTGCTGACGTCATCCGACTTGTCCTAACAAGTCTATTTTTAATCCCTTCAGAGGCCTTTTTCTCACAATTAGGTGTGTCCGACCTTTTTTATTAAAATTAAATTTTTTTAAATATTTTTGTGTACCGATTGGTACTCGGGAACCATCGGTTTTAAATTTTTTCATATAAAAAGACGTTGTTTTAAATATAAATTTATTATTTTCCCACCAAAACGTGCGACCTAAAAAGTATTATTCAGTCTTAATATTATCGTACAGTAATAATGATTAGTGCAAAGGAAATTGAAAAGGCAATCCAAAATATTGATAAATTTTTGGAAAAATGTGGTAAAGAAGGTGAAGAAAAATTTGAAAATAAATATCCTACTCGACAGGAAATATATCGAGAATTTTTGAAAAAGGAAAAAATTAAAAAATGGGTTAGTCAAAAAGAATTTTTGGAGCAGCATCTTAATGCTAATATTGTAAATAACCAGTATGGTAAACATTTTGAGACGTGCCCCTGGTCAAATTCTGATGAAGGTCCAGATACATGTCCATGTTGTATGGTTTCATTTTATGTGAAAGAAGCTAATGAGATGTTAAATAAGTTACCAAAAATTACGTGCTGTTGTAAAATTAATTGAATAAACTTTAATATATATTCCTTAACAAAACTATTTGAGTTCAGTAGTACCTAAAATGCGTTGCGTTCAACAACCCGAAAAACTACCTATAAATAACTTAGATTTATTTGAAACCAGTTCTGATGCTAGTAAACATGGTAATTTACTACCAAATTCCTTTAGAGCAATTTTTTGTGGTCCTAGTGGGTGTGGTAAAACAAATGCTTTATTAAGTTTAATATTTAATGCTAATGGAGCTAAATTTGAAAATATTTACGTTTATTCAAAATCTCTTTTCCAACCAAAATATCAATTATTACAAAATGTTTTAAGCAAAGTAAAAGGTGTGAGGTATTTTCCATATAAAGATAGTGATGAAATAATTGAACCTATGAAAGCTCGAAACAATTCAATTTTCATATTTGATGATGTAGCTTGCGATAAACAAAATAAAATACGCGAATACTATTCAATGGGTAGACATAAAAATATAGACGCTGCATACTTATGTCAAACATATTCAAAAATACCAAAACAATTAATACGTGATAATTGTAATATTATTGTGCTATTTAGACAGGATGATATGAATTTAAAACATGTATTTGATGAACATGTCTCACCTGATATGCCTTATGATCAGTTTAAGAAAATATGCTCAGAATGTTGGAATGAAAATTATGGTTGTTTAGCTATTATAAAAGATTTTCGTTTAAACAATGGACGTTATCGAAAGGGATTTGATAAATATATAAATATGTAGCTAATATTTTTTTGAGTTGAGTAACAGTAATAGACTTATTAATATTTTTTGCTAAGTAACCTTATAATCTTGGTAAAATACTGTCACAAAAACCGATAGAAAAACTGTCACAAAAACTGCTAGAAAAACTGCAAAACTGCTATAAAACCGTTAGAAAAACTGCTAGAAAACAGCAAAACCGATAGAAAAACTGCAAAAACTGCTAGAAAAACTGCAAAACTGTCACAAAAACCGATAGAAAAACTGCAAAACTGTCACAAAAACTGCTAGAAAAACTGCAAAACTGCTATAAATACTGCAAAACTATCGCAAAAACCGATAGAAAAACTGCTAAAACTGCTATAAAAACTGTAAAACTGTAAACATTCAATTTTCTTAGTTTCTTTAAGAAACTTTCTTGACCCATCACTGGTAATGTTCATAAGAATATAAGAAAAAATTGAACCTACACCTCGCCAAAGTTTTTTGTTTTGAATGCGTTCCACCAACTTCAAATACCGACAGACAGCTGTTTCGACCTTTATTGGGTCTCATCAGTGTCGGGCAACTTGGTGTAGTGGAACACAATCAAAACAAATTACTCCCTCAGCTTATATGCTCGGTTGTTAAGTCAACAGAGGCGAGATGTAAGAACATCAGGTGATCCACACCGTCAAACGACGTGGCCTTTGCTGCAATCGGTACATACTATGCAACTGTCACAAAAACTACAGGCTGTTATAAAAGACCGTTTAAACAATGGGTGTTATCGTTTGATAAAAATATAAATATGTAAAACAACTATATTTAGTATCATTAGTAATCATGGCACCAACCACTGTCAATGTAACTGAAAAAATTAATGAACTCTCTCGAAATATTAGAAAAAAATATTTAGCTCTTAAATTGGGAAAAGCTGAAAATGATGCTACATTAGATAAAATTTTTAGACCAATCATAAAGCCTCTTGAAAAAATGGCATATGATACGGATTTTGTGAAAAAAGAAGCTGAAGAAGAAGATTTATTACAGCCAGCAAAAAAAATTAAAAAACAATCTCCTATAAAATATAAAGCTATTGATAAAATACTTGAAGCATCCCCCAGAAAAGGTATTCAAGATAAATCATTAAATATCTCAAGCATACGTTTTCCTGAAAATGACACCACTAATGAAAATAATCCAAATGATTTTTATAAAAGCGAATATAATCCCAATAAAACATACCACCCCACATTTTCTGGAAATGAAACTATTTATGAAGATGATACAAATGATTTTTATGATAATGACTTAAGCTTAAGTAGAACACTCGACAACGAATCAATCATGGAATCAATTCCGGAAAATTCTATAGCAGAATATTTGGATTTTTTCAATGAATTACCTAGAAATTTTGTTGAAGGACATATGAGAGATACTAGCAATGAATATGATCATACTTATATTCACCACGATTTGGATACAGGCAAGATCAAATTTGGGGATTCAATTGGGGGGATTCCACGTCAGATCAGGCAGGTTTTGACCCTCACCCCCTCTGATTTTGACGAAAATCGCTGTATGGGCTTCAAATGGGCCCAAATAGACCTGACTGCAAAAGTTTGAAAAAAGAATAAAAATTGTGGATTTTATGGGGGGTATCATTTTTGGAACTTTTCAGATCAGAGGTATATTGTTTTGCTTATATCTTGGGTCCTAATTGACCTAGAGAGTTGGTCGACGTCTTATTTTAAAGAAAAAAGACTATACTTTTTAATTATTGTACATTTTTATAAATTTGAATAATTTTTTATTAAAATATATAATTTTGAAAAATTAAATTTTAAATATTTCAAAAACACCCCTTTTTATTTTTTTTATTTTTTTATATGTGAAAAAGCAAACCTTTTTCTACACTTACCTAAATTTTGGTAGGGGTTATTTTTTTTGAAAGGGAGATATGATTTTTTAAATATTCGGTGTCTTTATACCCAGCGCCTATCTAGTTCTTATTTAGTGGGCTTGGGTTTAATTCTAGGTACTAAAATATTTTTGGGTATTTTTTTTTCTTAAAAATACTAAATTTTAAAAGGAAATAATATTTAATTATTTTCATATAATGTGTCATAAGCTTTACATTTTCCCAGATAACCTGCAACAAAAAAGAAAATATGCT